TGGAGCAGTTCACTCCCTGCTCCAGTCTTTTTGCAGTTGGCTTTTTCTTGAGGAAAACTGATGGAGATGAGCCAGTATTGAAAAAAAATGTGCTTCCAGCCAAACTCTGCTGTCCTTCAGGATAAGAGGACACGGCCTCGAGCTCCACCAGGAGAGGGACAGCAGGAATTTCTTCATGGAAAGGGTTGTCAGGCCTTGGGAAGGGGCTGCCCAAAGAGGTGGTGGAGTCCCCATCCCTGGAGATGTTCAAGGAAGGACTGGAAGTGGCACTCAGTGCTCTGGTCTAGTGACAAGGCAGAGGTTGGGCTTGATGATCTCAGGGGTCTTTTCCAGCCTGAATGATTCCATGTGATTCTGTGATGTATGGAATGGGCGTGGTTAACTCTCTTGGAAAATAATTCTGCTCCTTTGGGATTTTTATCCAGTTTAAGGTGACATCAGTACAAGTAAGAGTGGGGAGAGAGAGGAGGGAGCCAGTGGGCTGATGCAAAATCCGATTCCTTCATTTCCTTCTCCTGCAGGCCGCCGACCTTCTACAACAGCGCGTCGCCCCCGAGGCCGCCGTTCCAGGGCAACGACCCGCACTCCCAGCACATGTACAACCCGGGCTCCAGCCCGGGGCCGGGCCCTGGCATGTCCCAGGGGCACAACGGGCCTCCCATGCACCCTGGCTCTCCCGGGCACCATCCCTGCGGGGGGCCCCCGGGGCCGGGAATGCCGCAGAGCCCCCCCATGCAGGGGGTGCCCCCGGGCTACATGGGCCCGCAGAACCAGACTGGAATGCCCATGCAGGGGCAGCAGGGGGGGCCGCCCCTCACCCCGCCGGGGATGGGAGGATCCTACAACTCCCCCGGGGTGCAGGGACACATGGTGAACATGCCCAGGGACAACCACTGTCCCCCGGGGCCGCAGTACCAGCAGATGCCCGGGGAATACGAGTCCATGCAGAACCCCGCCGACTTCTACGACAACTACTACTCCCACCAAGCTGTGCACAACTTCCAGCCAGCCAATAATTCCGGAGGTAAGCACTCCTGCTGGAAGAAACTGGGAGAGACACCTCCCGGAATGTTGTCAGCGTTCCGGCTTTTCCAGCTGACGGTGTCCAGTTGTGCTGTACAAGTCCTGATTTGCTTTAGGTTTAGATGGGACATTGGGAAGAAATTGTTCCCTGTGAGGGTGGTGAGGTATTGGCACAGGTTGCCAGAGAAGCTGTGGTTTGCCCCTGGAAACGTTCAAAGCCGGGTTGGATGGGGCTTGGAGCTGCCTGGGATAGTGGAAGATATCCCTGTCTATGGCAGGGGTTTGCGACTACACTTTTAATGTCCCTTCCAACTGAAACCAGGGGTAGGTGCTAACCAGAGCTTTGTTCTCCTGCAGATGGAACGTGGCACGGAGAGTTTCCAGACCACCAGGCTCACCTCATGGCTCAGGAGTCGCATCCGGGCGGGAGTGAGTCGGAATGCATGAGCGGCCACATGGGCCACAACCAGGCCCTCAACGTGCCCGACTTCCTGCCCGCCATGCAGAAGGCCCTGTACGCCAGGCTCAGCCAGAAGCACCAGCGGGATGGAGACTCTGCCAGCAGCCAGGGCCAGAGGGCCATGAGCAAAGACGAAGGTGAGGAGGGTTTTGTCGGAATTCTCAACCCCGTTCTTGCCTGGGAATAAACGCACTGACATCGATTTGCGTCACCATTCACGTTACTGGGGATGTAAAATCAGCCGCTCGGTATCTTCAGCTCTTCTTCCCAGCTTCTTCTAGGATTTTAGTATAGGCTTAGGTGCTTCATCCTAGCTCCCAGGAAAAAGATCCGTGGATAATTCATGGATCTAGTTTGCTCTTTCAAAAGGTTCTGTGGTTGATAATTACTTCTGAAAATCCCAGATTGAACCAGAAGGGTTTCTCGCTGCCAGGAATGCAGGTGCATCCTAGATCCCAGTTTTTCAGTTGCACCTCTTGATTTTTTTTTTTCTAGAGCAATATTTTTTCCTCTGTGATATCTTTTAAATATTCTTGTTTCTTCCCATCCTGAATCTTTACTTCTCCCCCAAACCTTGGGATTTGGATTATAGTGAGGCAGCAGATTTTTCATTTATCGGGTTATAAGGGGTCATTTTACTTTCCATTCTCCTATGAGGACTCAGATTTTAGATGTGGGGTTTTTTCACCAGTACTGTTAGACTTGCTGGGAAGCAGGTTATTTTCCCAAATAATTATTGATGGATACAGGATTTTTTGGGATGTCAGTTCTTTGATTAGATGGAGTTTTGTCATTTCAGGTACTGTTTTTATAAAACACAGGGAGTGATGATTTAATATCAGATCTTTTCAGCCTGATTTCACTGAGAAGTTTCCCGTTATGTAGTAAATGTCTCAGGTTCTCTGGGCATTAATTACTCAAATAATCAGAATTCTTTGGAATTTCTTTTGTTTCTAGATGACAATGTCAACTGGTATTCCAGTAGCGAGGAGGAAGAGGGCAGCAGTGTTAAATCAATCCTCAAAACCTTAAAGAAACAAAGCGAAAACTTTAGGAATCGGCAACAACATTCCACGGAGCAGCACATGCTGGGAATTCCTACGGATCCCAGACTGGCCAAGGACAAAGGTATGGGGCCTCAGACTGCCGACCCGAGACTTCGGGCCTCTCCCAGGCCCAATCCCAGGAAACCCTCGGATTCCGCGTCCTTGGACCCCCGGCTGGCCCGCGATCCGCGGATGCACAAGGTGAGCGAGGGCCACGCCGGCTCCTCCCTGGGGGCGGCCAAGCTGGATCTGCACCACGCGCACCCCGGAGTCAAAGTCAAGCAGAAAGGGATGGACGACGACGAGGAGGACTCGGAAAGAGAGCTGAGGGAACGAGCTTTCCTCATTCCCTTGGAACCTTTGCCCGGCGTCACGTTAAGGGATCCCCGCTCCCAGCTGCGGCAGTTCAGCCACATCAAGATGGATGTGACCCTGATGAAACCCAACTTTGCCAAGCACATCGTCTGGGCCCCCGAGGACTTGCTCCCGATCCCTCTGCCTAAGCCCGACCCCGTCTCTTCCATCAATTTGCCTCTCCCTCCGCTCATTGCCGACCAGAGACTGAACAAGCTGCGGAATCTGAAGAACGATCCGCATCCCAACGCGATGCCGGCCGACCCCCGGCTCGCTGCCAAGGCCAAGAACAGCCTGGCGGGCCGGAGCGGCTACTTGGATCCGGCCGCAGATTCCCACGCCAGCAGCTCCAGCAAACTGGGCGATCCCCGCTTGCAAAAAAACGTGGATCCCCGACTCCACAGACTGTCAAGCGCTGACACGCACCACGGAGTCGGGAAGGATTCCCACCCTCCCAAGTTTGACCCCCGGCTCGCCAGAGCCGCTGCCAGCTCGTCCCAGCCCTCGGAAGCTGCGGCTCCGAAACCCGACCCCGATGCTCTGCCTCCGTACGCGCCCAAATTATCGTCCAGCGGCGTCAGGCTGGGAACGCCCGGCTCCATCCTGAGCGGGATCAGTTTGTACGATCCCAGGGATCACAGCTCCGCCTCGGACACGGCTCCAGCCGCTTCGGGAGAGAACGGGGAGAACCAGAAAAAGAGCATTTTGAAAAATTCCAGTAAAAGCGAGCCCAGCCTGGCGGAAGACGCGTCCCTGCAGAAAGCCGCCCCCGCCGCGGAAAAAACTGCGGAAGGATCGGCGGAAGCTGCTTCGGACAAAGCGAACAGCACCAGTAAATCTCAGGCTAAACACTCCAGCGCTGCTCCTGCCGTGCATAATCTCCCGATCCAGGCTTTGTCGGGGTTAATCCGGCCGCAGTACAGCGACCCCAGGCAGGTGAGGCAGCCCGGACAGGTAACGCAGACCCCGGAGAACGATCCCAACGGGGAGTCGGATGATAAATCCTTGAAAGATGTTTTCAAGACTTTCGATCCAACCGCTTCCCCCTTTTGTTAGCAGATGGCTCGGGAGCCTTTTTACCGTTGTGGATATTGCAGTTCTCTGCTGTTTTGTACCTGGGTTACCTCTTTTGGCTTTATTTATTTTTAAATTATAATTCCCACCACTTTTCAGCTGCTAATCCCGAACCACACGCAGTTCTCCAGTGCGCTCGAGTGTTTGCAAAGCTGTGGTATTTTCTAGAGAATCCTTTTTTTTTTTTTTTCCAATTTCAGGGAGACTAATAATTGACCTGTAGAAAGGAAACCAATCCCCCCCCGGATCGTGTTAGAGCTGAGAAAAGCACTTTCATTGTAAATAAGTCATGGAAAAATCCCCAGAGCTGTATATGTGTGAGCTGCCTCTTCCCAAACCACCACTTAGATCCGATTGCCACATTTGTATAGATCCAAGCAATATTATGTACATGAATTCCCGGGAGAGACGCCGTTCCAGGACTGCCAAACCCCCGAACCGATGGACAACCTGCGTAAATGAATTGCAAGGAAGCCGTCGCTCCTCCTTTTCCGATGCATTGATGTAAGACACGGACAGTTTTTATTCCTGCAGTCGATATTAGTGTAAAAGAGACTCTTATCGCATATTGAGGATGAAAAAAAATGTCATATCTTTTCAAAAGTATTTTATTCTATGCTGTACATAGAAAAAAAATTGTGAAGTACATAACTAGGAGAAGTAACTGTTCAAAGTGGAGAGAACTACGTTGTCTAATACGAGAGGAAAAAAAGGTTTTTATTTAAATTTTTTTTTTTTCCACACCTACACGATTGGGATTTAGTGCTCCGAGTTCCATTGTGGTGTTCATGTATTTCAACGTATTTTTGTATTCAGCTGCTTAATTTGTATTGCTTTTTTTGTATGGCTGTAACCGCAGTACTTGTATTCATGGTGTCTCGGCGACATTTTTAACAAAACAATTAAAAAGGGTACCGTTAATCCCTGGTGCTGACTCCGTGGGGACGCTGGGCCGAGGGGGATAAAGCCGTGGGATAGCGCAGTGGGATGGTTTGTGTGTCCTTAACATAATCACGGACCTGGTTCCGAGGCCTCTCTTGGTGGGAGTTGCCATTTTCCAGTGCGAAACGTCCCGCACGTCTTTCCTTTCCATGGGAGAACACCGGTGTCCTCCAAGCCTCCTGTCCTGCCTTTTGGGTTGCTTTTTCTCCAGAGGAGATGTGGTCATTCCTAGCCCAGCTGCCTTTCCAATAAAAACTTGCTGGCTGCTCAGTCACCACCTGCTTCCCGCCCCTTGGGAATGTTTCTTTGCATTAAGTCTCTTCCTTGGTGCTCCTTTTTCCTCTTCTTTCTTGCTTGGCCCAGGCGATGCTCCCGCTGGGACAGTCGAGTTTATCCCAGATTCTGAGGTTTTGTTTTGTAGGGATGAACCAAGGGAAGCTGGTAATTCCTTCATGGCAGAGGAGACATCTCCAAAGGCAATTGCGGTTTCAGTTTGCCTTCCTAATTTCCCAGAGTGTAAACTCCATTAATTTTATGCTCTTCTGAACAGGAAAACTGGGTAAGGGACACGGAGCTCGGTTGTTATTTTGGAGTAATCCACTAGCCCTGAATAATTACATCTTCAGGTAGTGACAAGCGTGGCTGGTCGAGGTTTTCCTCAGAAAAAAACCAAGCCAGCAGGGAAAAATGGTGTGGAAATAGGATGTGGATACAAAAGCCAGCAAGTCCTCACAGCCTGTTGTCTCTGTGGGTAACTATAACTCCTTCCTTCCTCCTGCCCTTCCTTCCTCTCCCCCAATCCAGCAGGTCCCCATGGACCCTCCCAGCACCTCTGTGGCTGTTCTGCTCCTCCACCCACCCGTGCTCCCTGCTTTATCCGTTGCGGATTGCTTCCCAGACTCTCCGGTGTGCCTGCCGCTCTCCCTTGGAACACGGAGGAGATTCCTTGGGACCGTGTGAGTAACGGAATTCCAGCTGCGGGGAACGTGACAGAGAGGCAGGTGGGGACACAGAGGTGAGTTGGAATGGGCTGTGTATCCAGCCAGTTGTGATCTGCTGTGGTGTTGGATTGTGAATTCCGCAGGGAAGGCTTCTTTCCAGCCCTCCTGCACGTGCAGTATTCCGGCACGGATCAGCGTTTCTGTGGGACACCTGCAGCTCCTTTTCCCTGAGGCTGTGAAGGATGGATGTGGAGAGCCAGAGATGCAGGAGCAGCCAGTGTCACCAGTCTGGGATCCTCTGGAAGCTCTGAGGTGGGTGATGCTCAGGACTGAACGTTTCACTTGGTTAGGAGAAAATCCTGGGGCTGAGGGGGATTTTGGGAGCAAATCTGCAGGATCAGGGACGCAATAAAAATGTCCCCCAGTGCTGTATCCCTGGATATGTGATCTGTGACCTTGCCTGCTCTCTGCAGTGCAGAAAGACTGAGCAACCCTGGATCATAAAATCCTGGAATGGTTTGGGTGGGAAGGGACCTTAAACTCATCCCACCCCACCCCTGCCATGGGCAGGGACACCTCCCCCTGGAGCAGGTCGCTCCAAGCCCCATCCAACCTGTGTCACCACCTGGGGTTTGCTGCCCTGTGGGTAAAACACTCACCAGAAGATTCCTGGCCTCCCCACGGAGCCTCTTCCAAGATTTTCCTGCCACGATGGAAACGCTCCAGCACGAACCCTTCATCTTGCAAATATTCCAACGCCATCAGGATGAGGAGCCCCTCTCTGGTTTTATAGGTGTCTGTCCATAGCTGTGTGTCCTTTCCTAGGGCTGGGATGCTTTGGGATATTCCTGCTCTGAGGGGGTGGTTCTTGCACCAGAGCCATCAGGGTGGGCTCCGCCTTTGCTTCCCGAGTCTTGCGGAGCCCTAACTCATCCCTGTTGGAATTTAAAGCCTCCTTGGCTCTGTGCCACGACAGGTTTTTCTTCCACTGCAGGCAAAAAGCAGCAACTTCTTCTGCCTCAGGGTCAGGTGAGGGTTGTCCCAAACCCTGTTGGGAAAAATAACTGCTTTAAATATCCCTGTACATCCTAAATGACAGGAAAATCTGGAGGTGAGCTGATCCATGTGGGATTTCTACCTCTTAATGCTCACAACACTTAAAAGTGCTCAAAAAGGTGCTTACAGGGAGAGAAAAGGAGTGCAGTTTCTTGAGAAGCAGGAAAATTTCCAAAGGGAGATTTCCAGGTCATAAAGGACTTTGGAATCTAGACAGTCAAGATTAATGAATTGATTAACCCAGGCTGGAATAAGCAAAGTGAAAAATGGACAAATACAGGAAGTTTTAAGTTAGGCCAATTAAATAACACAGGAGGAGCATTGTGACCCCCCTTGGGGCTGATTATACAGTGAATGGGATTCTAAAAAACTCTCTCCTTCAAAAAGACAGGCTGATCCCAGAAAAAGTCGTAAGATTGTAGGGGAGGACGGGACTCAGCTGGAAAGGCTGCCTCAGGGCAGGCTGCTGGTGCTTGCACTTGTTTTCCAAGCGTTTTCAGGTAAAATCTGCTCCCACGGACTGTTTCCAGTTGGATCAGTTGGCTATTGATAGCAGCTGCACGGAAAGCCTGTGGGAGTTTGGCTTTTGGGAATAAAGGGGATGGGCAGGGACTATTTCCAGCTCTAGATGACTCCAAGAACAATAGGCGGGAAGGGATATGGCAGGCTTGGGAAACGAGACAGAAAGGCACGAAATAAAAACCTCCCAGGAGGAATGTTTGCTCCACCTGGAGTCCCGCAGCACCCGGGGCTCGGAGCAGCCCTTCCCACCCCGAGCATTCCCTGATTCCGTGGCTGATCCCGAGGCTCACTCACTTTGACAGAGGCCGCCTCGGCCGCCCTCAGGAGGTGCCGCATGGCCCGCACCACGTTCTGCGCGTTGCTCAGGAGCGGCTCCCAGGAGGCCTTGCTCTCCCCTGCCACTGCTTTCACCCTGGAAAGACATCCCAGAGGATTTTACTGGAAGGGCATCGGATATCCCGCAGTGCCATTGCTCCAAACAGAGCAGAGAAAGCCAGGGAGGAGAGGGAACCCTCCAAATGGGGTCTGAACTCCCACCACCCTCTGGGGGCCACCCTACACATTCCCTCTCCAAGGTTTTGGGATGAGCCTGGGAGAGGTGATTCCTGGGGATCCCTGGCAGCTCACCTGGCCACGATGCTGAGCTGGCTGCTGAGGGTGTGGGTGTGCTCAGAGGCGCGGAGCAGCTCCGAGGAGCATCTCCAGTCCGGGCACTGCTTGGCGAGGATTTGCCCAAATCTGACAACCACCTCCCCGTCCGAAGCGATTTGCCTGGCACAGGCCACGAACTGCTCCTTGCTCTAAAATGGGATAAAAGTAATGGGGCTGGGGAGGGAAGGAGAAAAAAAAGCTTTTCCAGCAGGACAGGGGAGGACACGTGAGGCCTGGCTGCATCCCAGAACAAGGAAAGCATGGGATGGCAAGCTCACATCTAATTTTGAGGATTTGGCATGAACAGAGCTGGTGCCTCTCTCCCGAGAATGGGGTGACACAGGAATTTGGGATGGGTTTTGTGATCCTGAGGGAAAAGCTGGAGGGGTGGAATGCTGCGTACCGCGATGGGGCCCTTCTTCCTCAGGAACTGAGCCATGTGGAGCATCCTCATTGCCATGTCCTGGATGACCTGGGACACCTTGCTGGGGCCCCCCTGCTGTGTGTCACAGTTCCCTCTCTGGTGCTCTGCAGGGGCGGTGCTGGAAGGGCCATCCCGCTGCTGTCCAGACAACAATGGAACAGATTCCAGGTCCGGAGTGCGCGGACACAGCGATGCCGAGCGGCCTCCTCCATCTGCCTGCTTCTGAAACAGAGTTTGGTGAGTAAAGCTGGTGGGAGAGATGGGGACCCTGCTGTGTCTGCTCCAACTCCCCACCAGCCCTTCTTCCCAGATCCAAAGCCCCTAGAGCCAGCTCCAAAGGGGAGCAGCTGTCACGTGAGCTGACAGTGCACAGTTCAGACCGCAGCTGAAACACTTCTCCTGAGGGACCTGCCAAAGTCTTTCCCAGCTCCCAACACCCAGCAGTGTTGGCTGTGGGGGTGAAATTGCTGGTATTCCCAGAGGGAGCTTGTGGGGAGGTGAGGGAGAGTGGTGTACAGCCCCTGCCCCTCTGGAATGGCAGAGTTTGGGATGGGTTTGCTGATGCCGATCGGATATCAGGACTCCAGGTCTGCCAGCAACCTGAGCTGCCCAGGGTCGGCCTGCTGACCTGCAGAGGGCCTGCCAGCATCCCTCACATTCCCAGCGCACGCTGGGAGCACCAGGAGTGACAGACCATTACCCTGCAGGAAAAGCTGACAGGGAAAAGAGCTACTGTACCGTTTCACCTGCTCCCTGTGCAGCTCCACTCGCTGCTCTGCTCCCGAGTGGGCGACTTGCCGCTGCCTCAGTGGGCTGTGGGGCCGGGCAGAGCTGGGCTGGGCCATTGGACTGTCCTGGGAATGCCTGGCCCCGCTGCAGGCATTTTGTAAAGCGCTGCAGGGTGTCTGTGCCGATGCCTGGGGCAGCCCGGAGCTGCGTGACGAGGTAGTGGGCCTGGGCCGACCAGTACCACACCACGCTGTCCAGCTGGGCATCCCCCGTGTCCTGGTGGGCATCCCACGTGTCCTGGTGGGCATCCCAGGTGTCCAGGTGGGTGTGCCTGGTGTCCCGGAGGCTCTGGCGGGCGCTGCCCACGGCGTGGGCTGTGAGGAGCAGGAGGTGCTCCGCCGTGGAGAGCAGGTTGTCCCACGGGGGCAGTTGAGCCCCAGCCTCCGGAGCATCCCGGAGGGCGTTCCTGACCCACTGGACATCAGCCATGAGCTGACCCGCCTTCTCCTCGAAGGCCTCCTTGCTGCAGTCCCTCTCCTCATGGGAGAGGCCGGACAGGGCTGCTCCAACCACGTCCTGGATGAGGTGCAGCTGCTCCGCATTGACTCTCTCCAGGTGCAGCAGTAACGCCCTGGCCCTGAGGGCCACATCTCTCTGCAGGAGCTCGAAGCGGATGGACAGGCTGGCTGAAGGCAGCGGGGAGACCAGGAGGGTGTTGGAGATGTCCAGCAGCGCTTCCATGAGCACCTGGATCTCCTGCTGGAGCACCAGGATTTCCCTGGCACCGTAATCTCTGGGACAGGACAGGTAAGAGAGCCGGGCGGCCTCCTGCAGCCTCAGGGAATTCTCGGCCACGGCAGCCAGGAGGCTCCGTGAGCCAACCTTGCTCCTCACGGCCCTGCTGAGCTCCCTCAGGAACAGCACATCCCTTCCCACGAACCGATCCACGGCCTGCAGCAGGACACACGTGCCCACGGCCCACCGGACACCGTGCAGCTCCAGGATGGCCTTTTCCACCCCACAGGAGCCCCCGAAGGACGCTGCCTTCTCCAGGAACACTTTGGTGTTCAGCTGAGCACGGGAAAACTTGGCTTGGACCTGCAGAAAGCTATCCCAAACTTGGGAGGCAGTGGGATTTTCCCTATTACAGGCTCTGCTTGCAATGTCTCCTGCCAGCTGCACTGCTCCTGCTAAAGCCAGCATGGCTTCATCCAAAACCTGCTTCCCTCTTGGAAAGTCACCTGATGAGATAAACCCAAGCACCTGCTGGGACAGACTATTCCAAGAGCCTGCAATGGCTGCCAGGCACTGCTGGGTGTCCTGGATCCTTCCTGAAAGCCTGAGCGCCATGTGGATCAGCGTGCCTGGAGCAGGGAGCTGGCTTGGAGACGTTTCCATGGCCAGGCTGATAATCCTTGGGGTCAGCGCCGCGATGTCCCCGTGCTGTCCCAGCACCCCGAGCTGGGGGGGCTCGGCCACGGGCAGCGCTTCCCGTGCCGCATCCACGCAGCTCTTGGAGAGCTCCAGCAAGGCAGAGCCAGCGGCACCAGCAGCGGCCGCATCCCGGGCTCGGGATGCTGCCAGGAGAGCCGTGACAGCAGGGTGTGCACCCCCTGCCCACGGAGCATCCCGCTGGAAGGGGCCCGGTGGCGAAGATGGAGGACTTGGGGTGTCTCCCTGGAGTGTGGCCTCATCCGTACCAGTTTGTATCCCAGTGTGGGACGGGCTGAGCTCCGGCCCCTTTGCCCCCTCGCTGCTCCGCACTTGCTGCCGGAGCGGGCTGAGGAGATCCGGGTGGTTGGACCCGTCCAGCCCGGCTTGGACACGGAGAGCAGCGTCCATCAGGCAGCTCGCTGCCTGGGAGAAGGCATCCCGGGATTGGGGGCACCGAGCTGCCACTGCCCTCAGCTGCAGGATGGAATGGGCCAGTTGCTCCACCCACACCAGCAAACCGTTCCTGAAGATGGGATCTGTGGCCCTGTCCACGTGCCGGGTGGTGGCTCCGACCACCCAGCGTGCCCAGCCGGTGAGGCAAGCGGCGTGCCAGGAGAATCCCTCGGGATCCCAGCGTGCCAGCGCCGCCTCAAACCACTCCTTGTGCTTGGCCATCTCCAGGACAGAGAGCTCCAGGAATTCCCGTGTGCCGACCGTCTCCTCGAAGCAGCGCAGGAGGCTGCCGGTGGCTCCGGCCCAGGCGTGGCCCAGGGCCTGGAGCTGCTCTGTGGTGTTCCCACTCCTTTCCAGCAGCAGGGAAGGGAGGCTGCCCAGGAGGCTCCGCAGGTGCTCCACCCCCTCCCGGATTTCCCTGGCAGTTTGGGGTTTGGTGCACCGGACCAGAACCATATCAGCCACTCGGAGCATCTGCTGGGCCCGAGCGAAGAGGGTGGTGGTGAGGGGCTGGAGCTTCCTTAAAATTCCTCCTGGTCCTGCTGGAAAACATCCTGAACCAGCAAGAGCAAGGGCCCCTTCGACCAACTGCCTCAGGGGCTCCTTCTCCTCAAAGAATCCCTCGAGGATTTGGCACAGAGTGGCTCTGAGCACGATCTGGTCCAGGTTTTCCAGCTCCTTCCTCATGCTGTGACATTCCTGCTCCAATCCATGTTGTCCCTGTCCTGGACATCCTTCCAACCGGCTCACAAGGCCGCAGATGCTCTTCCTCAGCCGTAGCAGGACCCAGCAGCGTTCCACCAGCTCCAGCTGCAGATCTGGCCTGCAGGAGTCTGCCAGCAGCATTCCATGGAGAACGACCACTTCCACATGGGAGCTGAGCCCGCCCTCGGAGAGGAGCAGCCGGTCCGGCTGGGAGAGGAGATCCCGCAGCGCGTTCACCTGCTGGGAGAAGATCCCGCTCCTGTCCCGGGGCTCTGTGAGCAGGGAGAGGAGCTCCCTGATGGTCCCCTCTGTCAGCTGGAAAGCATCGTCTCCAGAGTGGTCCCTGGAATGTGTGACAGCTCCGTGGAGCAGAGGAACACGCTGGTGGAGGAGCTGCAGGGTGTGAGCCAAGCTCTTCCCTGCAGGACCAGCCCCGAGTTCCCGGAGGCGCTTGGCTGTCAGGCAGCTCAGCAGGAGCAGGGCCTGGGAGAAGGCCTGGAATGCTGCCTGGAGCCCTGGTGTGTCCAGGGCATCCCGCAGCGCACACAGGCACTCCCGGAGCCGGCCGGCAGCCCGGGCGATCCGCCTCATCCCTGCAGCCTCTTCCCACTGAAGGACCTGACCAGGGAACAAGGCACAAAATCCAGTCAGCAATCCCCATCCCTGTTTCATCCTGGAGGGGGAGAAGATGTGGTTTGCTCCACAGCTCTGCTGGAGCTTCCCCACCTTCCCGCTCACCTTCGCTGTCTCCCTGAGGACTCTCCTGGCAGCCACTGCCAGGTGCTCCCGGAGCCCAGGGCTCTCTGGATACTCCTGGAGCCGGAGCGCTGCCAGCAGCACATCCCTCCCGGCCTGCTCCAGGGATTTGGCCGTGGGACACATCTCCGTGGTCCCCTCCTCGCTGGATTCCCGAGCCAGCCTGGAATGGGAGGGGTTGGGCTCAGCGCTCCGGGAAGCAGTGCGGATGGGAACTGTTATCCCAACCTTTCCCCGCACCAGGGCTGCTGAGATCCATGGCATCTGCCTCTGGAAGGTGCGTGCTGTCTGCCAGCATCTGTGAATTTGGGCTCTGGGTTTGCCAAAGCATTCCTTAAATCCACAGCACTGTTTGTTCCTTTGGGATGTGTTTATCTTTAAACATGGTGTGCTCAGGTGTTGCTTTGCCATGTCCCTGCTTTTCCTTCCCAGTTCTATTCCCCCATTCCCAATCCCACCTCTCCCTGAGGATGCAGGCTCCCTGCCAGCTTTTCCATCTCTTCCCAGCCCCCAAATCCACCCGGGAGACTCCCACGCAGCTCACCTTCCTGCCACAGCAGCAAGTTCTTCCAAGGCTTTGGCCAGCTTTGCCGCCTTCTCCCCTAAATTAGGAAAGGCCTGACAAATTCCATCTTCCCTTTCCAGGACCAGGAGCAGATGGCAGAGCTCCACAGCCATGGGGCAGAGGATTCCCTGGATAGTTTTGTTTTCTGCTGGGAGTCCGAGCTCGGAGAGAGGAAAAGGCTCCACGTTGTCCTGCCTGGAGAAGTGAAACAAAACCCGGGATTATTTGGGCTCCGCTGTGGAATAACTACCAGTTTTACCAGCGAGCTTGGATGTGGATGGCAGCTCCCGGCTCGGGAAAGGCTCCCGGTTTAGTTTCTCCCAGCCCTAAAACAGTCAGTCACCTGCATTTCCTGGGATCCCGGGGGATCGCAGGGTGTTCCCGGGACAGCGGGGCCGGGGGAATCGCGGGCTCTTCCATTCCCAGGGGCTCTTGCCGGTGTTCCCGGGCCGGGACGTTCCCGTGGGAGCGGCCACCGGGACGCGACAGCGTCGCCATGGAGACGCCGGTCGCTGGAAGTGACGTCATCTCCGCGCGCGGGCGCGGCGCACGCCGGGAGTTGTAGTCCCGAGGGGCTGCTCGGGGTTATGGAATTCTGTCATCCCAGGGAAGGATCGGGCAGGAGTGTCCCGATTTGCCCCGCGCAGGAACGTTGCTGATCAGGCCCCTGTGCTCAGGCACCGGGGGCAGGACAGAGGTGCGAGCGAGGCCCGTTTTCTGCCCCTTCTCCTGCTTTTTTCCTTTAGGCGGGATATTCCCAGGAAAGGGCAGCCTTCCTCCCTGGATCCTGAGCTTCAGCTGTCCTGCCTTACGGGTGAGCTAATTCTCTGGAAACCTGGAGGGTGGAACAAACAAAAGCAGCATCGGGGCTGCAGGAAAACACCTCCGGGATCGAGCTGACCCAGATCCAGCAGCGCCGGATCCCGCTCCCATTCCCTGGGAGTTCCGCAGTGAGAGCTCCCGAAGACATCCACCTTCGGGAACGACTACAGGAGTCCCAGCTTTCACCCCCTCCCCAGGCCGAGCCGGTGTCTCCCACGTGCGGGGCGCAGCCGGGGATCCATCCGGGATCCATCCCGCATCCCGGATCCCGCACCCTGCGCGCGCCCCGCCCCGCGCACGCGCCCGCCGCGCTCCGGGTGCCGCGGAGGAGGAGGAGGAGGAGGAAGAGAAGGAAGAAGAACATCGGGAGCGATGGACAGCGCGGGGAAGGAGCGGGAGGCCGTGCAGCTCATGGCCGAGGCCGAGAAGCGGGTGAAGGGCTCGCACTCCTTCCTCAGGGGGCTCTTCGGGTGAGCGCGCCGGGGGAGCCCCGGC